CCATTAGGAATAAAATGGAAACATTAAAACAACACATGGGTAGATAGCTAATCACATTATGTAAAGGTCAAGCATAAGTGGATTTTTAGTGAAAGGAAATAGTATCTATTCTTGGGGAAGATCAGGTAGGGGGAGGGTGCAGAGTCACATTTACCCACTCAACCTTGGAAGATTTAACAGGAGAAGTCAGAATTCAACAACAGCCATTAGTCTAACTGGGAATCTGGGGTGTTTCTTGTTGTCTTAAAAATGTGTGAATTTTGACTTAGTGAATGCTGTGCATTAAAATATATTATAGTAAGACAGGAGTACTCCCTTTGTTTCATCTTTCGCTCTGAAATCATCCTAAAAGACCATTCCTGTCATGTGAGACTATTCTTTTACAAATGTAACACTAAAAATGTATTAGTTATTTTGATTTTTAGTTTTATTTCATATCTTAAATTTTGCCTGCAAAATCAGATGTGTTATTTTTGTGTGTAATGAAAGTATTTGAAAATGTTAATCAACAAGTCATAATATAAAGGGAAGCATTAGTCAACTTCAAAGAACTATAAGAAATTATTTAACACACATCTGAATGAACTTCCCTATACGTTATCCAAAATTTATGAGTACATGTCTTTTAGATAATCAGGGCTAAGTTCAAACTCTTGGTCCACTTGATTTTATGTAAGGAAAGCACACTCAAGAAGGGTGTCAGTGGATGCACAGGTGACTTCACAAACTTTCGTCACTGTGATTTTTAAATTAGTCTTACTGAGAGCCCATACCTCTTCTGTGGCAATACATTTAAGCTTACACTAGGAAAAATTCTTTTCATCTGAGCTAAGTCCTCCATGTTCTAGTATTACAATACAATTCCTCATGTCGTATCTTTAGTGAAGGTGTTCTTTCCCTGTTGCTTGTGAAAGAGCTCTGGATATATACGATCTGAAGACATTACATTGCCTCTCAGTATTGTTCTCCCTAGACAGGTCCTTTAATCTTTCTTAAAGGTCTTATTTTCTGATCCTTTAATCATCTCTGTGGTAAGAAATTTAAGTTCCCATTCCTCTTTGTCTCATTCTGGATGTGGGCACTGACTAATATAAGTCCTGTGAGCTATCTATATTTTTCCATCTCAGCATTACCTTTGCTGTTTAAATTGAAATGTTGCTGTTCACTCATCATTCCTTTTCGAAAACAACAATATCAAAATATGGCTGTGAATCCATTTCCAAATAAGATGTAGAGTGTAGAGATAAACCAGAATTATCCTTCCTTTGTATTACTCTGGCTCTCTTTTGGGCCCCTCTTCACAGAAAAACATGAGGCTTGATTATCCATTTTCACCAAAATAGCATTTACTAAGGCAGGAATATTTACTCAGGTAAGCAAAATGATTGTTGCTTTTATCTCAGCAATTCCACACCTACTCCCCTACCAATTGACTTTTTAGAGAATATTAGTTTGCATTAAAAAATCTATTTAATTGCATTGGAAAAACACTTCACCGCCACGCTCCAGGCCGATACCATGTTGCAGCTGCTCCTATTTAAGGGATGATTGTAGCCTCACTCTTCTACAAGGAACTAATTCTGATTTTGAAAGGATTTGTCCTCACAGTTTATCCTGATGAGAGAGGACTGGATTATTGCCGTGTAAAATAGCTGAATAGTCCTATTATGGCTATTATGTCACAAATGTTGTGTGTTGTGGAAGATCAAAGTGCTGTACCACACTCAATGGTGAAATGTACAAGCATGGCACACTTCCCAAATTATGTAAAAAATACTGCATTTTATGAGTCATTTAGTACCATGTGAGCGATCTGTGGACCTGTATCATTTCCTTCAAACTTTCCTCATCATTCTGAAATCCTTTATTTTCTGGTTGAAAGACTTACAATCTAGTCATTTCTCACTAGTCTCCCCAGGAAATAAACATCAGTACTCTGTGTTCTTCCATTGAAAGATATTACTTATCGCATATAATTCCATTTTGAATTTAAATTACTTTAGAAAAATGTTAAAATAACCCCGGACAACAGTAAATTCTAACTGGTAAAGTAAGAACATGTAAACATTTCCCATCAAAACCATTAATGATGTCTTTTTGAATCTCAAATGTATAGCACTCCAGATTGGCTAGATTCTAAGGAAACAAGCAGCTTCTTCCCCCCGTAACCTTGTTGGGTATGCACGTCTAATGAGGCCTTAAAATCCTAGGTGGGCCATATGAGGTGTAAAATGAATGGTATTTTAAAAGAATAAGACTTTCTTTTCCCTAGAAATATTGCAACATCAGCTGTCACTGGAAATCTAGCCTGTAAGTCAGAAAGGCCAGTGAAGGGCTAAATATTAATTTAGTTATACAATATGGCATGCTTTGATTTTAGTTTTAATATCTGACATTTCAAAATCAACCCCTCTATATGACATTTCATTCTCGTGTACATCTACAGAGGATTTCAACCCTTTAAGAAAAACTAACTCCAAAATCTAACAAAAAATGCCTGCCAGGAAATACTATGGTTTGTTGAATAATTTTTACAAGACTCTTGTAAATCACATATAAGATTAACTGTCTAGAAGCTATTTCTCCCAAAGTAACACATTCTGTATGTGATTTGAAGACATTACTACAAGATTTAGGACTTAACCTACATGATACAAAGAATCAGTAGACATAAAATGTGGTCACTGAAAACAAGTATACATTTGAAAACATAACAATGTGCCGGGCGCGGTGGCTCAAGCCTGTAATCCCAGCACTTTGGGAGGCTGAGGCGGGTGGATCACGAGGTCAAGAGATCGAGACCATCCTGGTCAACATGGTGAAACCCCGTCTCTACTAAAAAAAATACAAAAAATTAGCTGGGCATGGTGGCACGTGCCTGTAATCCCAGCTACTCAGGAGGCTGAGGCAGGCGAATTGCCTGAGCCCAGGAGGCGGAGGTTGCGGTGAGCCGAGATCGTGCCATTGCACTCCAGCCTGAGTAACAAGAGCGAAACTCCGTCTCAAAAAAAAAAAAAAAAAAAAAAAAAAAAAAAAAAAAAAAAAAAAAAACATAACAATGTGTGAAACTATAATTAAAATGAAGATGGGCAATGTTGAGGCAACAAAATCAAATGTTCCATGTGGTTTGTAATTACTGATGAGCCTTTCCAAAGTAATCTGGAAAATTAAATGAGATAGTGACATTCAATGTAAAGAAATTAGGACCAGGTCTAGGACATAGGAGGAATTTCACAAGTAGGTATTGATAGCATTATATCAGCATTAGTAAAAAGATGTTTTGTTTACGGGCACTCATTTTCTGGTAACTAGAGTATATAAAGTTCCTAGGTAAGATGAATAAACTGTACCCTGGACTTTTACAATTCATGCATGCTTCCTAAGAGCAAATGGGCAAATTGCTAACCCAACTGTAAAAGACAGAGTAGGTGATGATGTCCTACACTTTCCTTAGACTGTCCACATTTGGGAGTGGTGATCCTTGATGTCCTCTTATGGGAACCAACACAAAGTGACAATCAAGCCTATCCACTAAAATTTCATGCCTTTAACATTTCCTTTGTTAAGGAATCTTTTCTTTAGATTACTTTATCTTTCCTTTTAGGTCAGTGATTCTTAATCTTTTCTGAAAGTTAAAGCCACTTGAGACTTTTTTTTTTTTTGAGACGAAGTCTGGCTCTGCTGCCCACTCTGGAGTGCAGTGGCACAATCTTCCACCTCCCAGGTTCAAGCAATTCTCCTGCCTCAGCCTCCCAAGTAGCTGGGACTACAGGCATGTGCTACTACACCTGGCTAATTTTTGTATTTTTACTAGAGATGGGGTTTCACTGTGTTAGCCAGGATGGTCTCAAGCTTCTGACCTTGTGATCTGCCCATCTTGGCCTCCTAAAGTGCTGGGATTACAGGCATGAACCACCGCGCCCAGCCTAAAGCCACAGGAGAGCTTTTAAAAATTCCTATGCCCAGGCCCTCTCCAAAATACTGAATCAGAATCTATGTGGGTGGGGCTCTGGCTTGAGTATTTTTTTAAACTGCTAAGATGACTTCACTGACCACACTAGGTTGGAAAACACTGCTCCGAAAGATCACATCTAGAGCAGGAACCACTTTATATAATTTGTTTTTGTATTTTAAACCTATAAATAATACATAGCATTAGTGTTTTTCACCACTCTGTCTGTTGATTCATGTACAAATGAATGAATGAATGGACAAATAAGTATTTTATTTAGCTATGATGTGGAGTTGATAGTCCAGGAAACTGAAAAGTATTACAATGCTGCTCTACTATTTTATTTTCCAAATTAAGAAGATTAACTCAGAGGTTTAGATATTCAACTTTCCCCAACTTTTAGCAGAAATACATCCATTTAGTTTACGATGGGTCTTATAGAGTATTACAAAGCAAGCATTTTTTCAGATGACACTGAGATGGCCTCTCTTTGTATAAGTGGCTGGAAGTAAGAACTTTTCCCCCAATACCTCATATTCCCACGTATCACACCATGCCATGTACAGAATACCACTTGACTCCATACACTCCTATGGGAGAAAGCAGTCTCCTGATTATGTAGAGGAATGCACAGGTCCCATGTATTTGGATTTTCCCTCAAAGTAGAGAAAGGTGGTAGGTCTGTAGACCAAAGCAAGAGGTATCATTATCTCCCCAGTGTCAAGATGCAGATAATGGTATTGTTCCAGCCTTGAACCATTTCATTTCATCTTTCTGTCCAGCCTTGAACCATTTCATTTCATCTTTCTGATGTTCACAAGGTCATCAAACAAACAAAAAAGATGAACTCCAAGAAAGTTTTTTTTTTTTAAATCAAGTTTTGAAATGATATAATAAATATTGGATTGAGGATAGAAGTTTAAGCGGAGAAATGTTTAATTTGAACCTAAAAAGTTTGTTATTATTATTGTGGAAGGAATACATATAGGCACATTTTAGCCTCTACGATAGTATTTGGAAAGCTGATGTTATGAAACACAAAACTTCATTTAAATTTTATTGTAAAGACCTTTATTAGGAGAAAGGACACATTCTCTATTTCTTTTATTTTGTGCCTTGAAGGACTTGTGAATGTATAGAAGAATTCTTTTTTCTTCCTGCTGCTTCTTTGCAACCCAACCTCCACCATGTCAATGTTGAAGGTAGGAAGAAAGTTGTATTTCTGTTACTTTTTAAAATGATAACAAGAAGAAAGAAAAACAATGGCTTAAGAGAATGAGGATGTAAGGAGTAGGAAGCAAAACTTAACAAAGAGTTCATAAGGGAACTTGCATTGACAATTCACTCAGCAGTGTTAATTTTATCATTAATATTGTCTTTGTAGATTTTTTTCCCAGATCTCTCTGGTTATATTTCACTGGTGCTCTGAAATGCACGGGAAGAGACAGCTATGGGAAAGTTGCGCCGAGCAGTTGGCAATCAACACGTCCTAGAAGGGTGTGTGGAGTAGCAAAACAAGCGAAACGGATGAAGAACTTTCACGCTACTTTGCGGAGTTTTGGGCCCTAGTGTGCAGGCTGCTCCCTCCTGAGGGGGAGGTAAATGTCACCCACTCCTACTTGGACTTCCCACGGAGGACACTGCCCCCAGAGATTAATCTGTTGGACAGCAGCCAGGAGACCCCAAACTATCCCAAGCTCCAGGAGACGCCAAGTTGCAAGTTTCCGAGTTGGGGAGGCAAAACAGGAAAATACGATTGGCGATTTCCTCATCCCACTCACCCACCGGAGAAATGGGGAGGCGGACTCCAGGTCTTTCGTGGACAGCCCAGAGCACTCTAGGGCGTCCAGCTATAAAAAGACACTAATCCCATGAGGTGCAACAAGCAAACTCATATGTTTTCCCTCTAGCCGGATCGTGTGCTGATAATTGTTTCCCTATTTACACTTCGAATCACTCCTGTGGTCTTTGTGAGTCCCCAAGGCAGCGTCAGCCTTCGCAAACCGTCCAATGGGGCACGGATCGCGGAGGGGTGCTGGCTGGAGGCCGGAGAAAGAAACCAAAGAGGGGCGGCTCTTCCAGTCCGTCCACCCCCAGGCGGGCGGCTCCCCACCCTCCGAGCGGCTCGGGCCCCTCGGACAGTCGCCCACTCACAGCGTGCAGAGGGCTGGCACTTCTTGTGGGTTCTCGGCCCTCGGGACCGGCGCTGTGCAGAAAAGTCACCTCCGCTACGGGCCCGGAGTAGGGAGGGGAGCACAGTGACAGGGATGGGAACTAGCCGAGGCGGGGCGTGGGGGTCGCAGAGATAGGGGTGGGGACGGCCGCGGAGGGGGCGGTGGGAGCGGGGTGGGGCCGGGGCGGGCCGGGGGCGGGGCTGCGGGGCGGGGTGCGCCACAGCGCCCCCTCGCTGCGCGCTCCCCACGGTGCCTCGAAGCCGCCGGTGGCTCTGGCTCGCCAGCCCCTTTGTGTGCGACGCGCTGGCCCCGAGGAGCGCGGCACGGGCACAGCGGAGGCCCCCGGGGTCCCGCCGCTTCTGTCCCGACCGGGCCGTGTTCTCCTCCTTCTCCTTCGCCGCTCCTCCCTTCTCCGTCCCGGCCCCCGGCTCCAAGCAGCAGCCATTGGGCCGCGAGGAGCCCGCGTCCGGCCACGCTTCCTACCCCTCCCGGCCCGGGGCGCTCGCCCCCCTCCCGCCCTGTCCCCTCTTGATCCCCCCAATCCCAGGCTTCCAAGGTGGAGAAAATAAACTACAAACAGAGCAACTCAGAGTCTCCAATAAAACGCCCAGTACCTAGAGCCCGAGCGCGTGTGCCGGGCGGCGAGGGGCGCGGGAGGCGGGGATGGGGGGGCGGGCGGGGGGACAATGAGCGCATGAAGTTACCTGCCCGGCGGCGGCGGCGGCGGCGGCGGGACCGAGAGGCGGCGGCGGAGCAGGCTGCGCGCTCGGCGCCGACGGGTGCGCGCCGCGGCTTGGGGGAGAGTTGAGCGCTTTTCCCCCCTCTTTTTTTTTTTTTCCTCCTCTTCTTCTTAAACAAACCACAAACGGATGTGAGGGAAGGAAGGTGTTTCTTTTACTCCTGAGCCTAGACACCTCACTCTGTTCCGTCTAAGCTTGTTTTGCTGAACACTTTTTTCAAAAAAGGAAAAGAAAAGGAGTTGCTTGATGTGAGAGTGAAATGGACGTAAGATTTTATCCACCTCCAGCCCAGCCCGCCGCTGCGCCCGACGCTCCCTGTCTGGGACCTTCTCCCTGCCTGGACCCCTACTATTGCAACAAGGTGAACGCTCTGCTTTTGTTTCCACCGTGTTCTTGCTGCTTGATCCCGGGAGGGGGGCGGTGGCGGCCGGGCCGCTGCAGGGCCGGCTCGGCGGAGGCCGGTCCCGGGCGCGCTCGGCTCGTAGCCCGCTGCAGCCTGCGTGCGCTTGGGTAGTAAATATTGTGGAGTAGCTCCGGGGGCTTGCCAAACACCGCGATTGTGCGGAAAGTGACACTATTCGCTCGGATTCTTTCCTTCCTGCTGTTCGAGACTAAGGATCCCTGCCTAGGTTTGCCGGGGGGCGTTTAAAAAAATAATAAGAGAAAATCGTGGAATACTTTGGGGGTGTGTCTGGGGTCCAGGAACGGAGACAGAGTAAGAGAATCCAGTTTATTTCCCAGTTCCCCCTTCTCTCTCCCTCCCTCTCCCGGGCAGTGGGGGCTCGTGGCACCACTTCCCTTCTCCGGATTAGTTGCCAGGGGAGCAGCCGGGAGTCGGGGTTCAGGGACCCGAGGGGCGCCCCTACCCCCCGCAGGAAAAACTGCTCCACAACTCTTTTGTTTTCCCAAACCGGTTCCGGCAGCCGAACCCGAGTTCGAACACCGGTCGGAGGCCCAGAGCACGGCGGGGTAGCTGGGTCACGGTCTGGGGAACAGCTCCTGTTTTAGGGGTGCGCGCGGAAATTGCAAGTTTGTTGGGAGCCGGGCGAGCACGTCGCGTTCAAGTCCAAAGCTCTCGCGTTCGGCACGGGGCTAGAGCAGGATCCCCGGCTGAGCTGTACCCACGACTCGCTGACCTCCGGTGCCAGGGCCGCGGGGGGGCCGGGGCGAGGCGGATCCTGCCGGTGACCCGGAGGTGGGGCGCTGGCCCGGGGCTGCTGCGGAGTTCGACTGGGTCCGCCTATGGGACAGTCAGGCGGTACGAGGGAGCGGGTTACTCTCCTGGCTTCTTGAAGTCTCATCCCCGAGAGGGAGGATACGCAGGGACCGATCCCCCAGAGTGGTCGCAGGGCCGCGACTGCCCCTGCCTCGGGCTCGTTGGACGAGTCTAAGCAGTCCCGCTGGATGAACGCTAGCAGGGAGAATTGAGTTCTCTAAAACGCGGGGCGGGCCTTTTAGACCCCCAGCTCTCTCACGGTGATAAATCCGCCAGATACTCACAGCCCCTGCAGGCACGTCCATGGCGACCCCTCGGTGTATTCCACGGTAGAAATCTTTGGGACTCCCAACATTTGCATGGTGGCGATGGTGGCGAGTCATCACCAGTTTTTTACGTGGTACGGAGGGATTTAGTGGGCTGCCTTCTCAGCCCCTGGGCTCCCCACCACGCGACCGACTCGCAGTTCCGAGTCTTGGACAGTGTTGACACGCAGGCAGGCTCTCTCACACACACACTTCTTCGCAGAGAAACTCCTCGATGCTGTGTGCAGTGTGAGACCCACTCAAAGGACTGTGCTGTGTGCCGATGGTGTTTAAGCAAGTTAGAAAAGATGGACATCCAGTCTTGAGCGAGGCAGAACGGCTTCCATTGTACAGGGAGACCTTTAGCTAGGTGCAAGTTAAAGGTACCGGGAACTTTGGCAAGCGCAGAGGAGTTTGTGTGATGGAGTTTCATTATTTGCAGGTGACATAGTTCTTTTAGTCTAAAATCTGTTTTGCCGGTACACTCAAGTATTGCGTTACGTTTTATTTTGCTTATGACACCGGTACTATTGCTAACAAAAAATAATAAAGTTGCAGTTCTATCTTGGAGAGTAAAGGCATATTCCACTGTAGTTACCGGAACCAAAAGCTCAGAAGCATTTTGGCAATGAAACCGGACAAATCTTATTAAGTTTATCAGTGATTTTAGGCCCCAAAAAGAAGGTAATGACTTGGATACACATTTCACTCCTCGTTCGTGTGATAAGCAGGGTCAGATTTAATTTAAAAGTTAAATGCTTTGGAAAATCAGGAATTACTTCATATATTAAATCATTTTCCAATTAAGTGCTTTAAATAATTTTAGTGGGTTGTGCTGTGAATTGAATAAATTAATTTAGAAAGTCTTCAGAATTTCTTTACTAGCTCATTGAAGTTCCTTTTAAGTCACCCCGTGTATAAGAAGCAAACTGTTCTTTTTAAATGCAAATTAGGCACCCTTTCTATAGATTAGTAGCGAGTCTTCTATTTAACTTATCCAGGGAATAATAGATTTTTTAAAATGCAAAGTCATAAGACATGTTTCTAATAGTAGGAGAAGACTTCGTGGAAATGTTTCTCCAGGGACACCTCTAGCCCATCTCTGTGCAGCAGTCCATCAAATATATTTGTCACTGGTCCCTGATTATATTAAATGTACTGGGTGGTTTTCTAGTCCCCACAAAGCCCAGGCACTTGAGTTTTTTCACTCCACCATGATTAGCATTGGTACAAAATTTCTGTCCAGCTCCACAATTGTAGTTGTTCAGAATGCAGTCAACTAGCATTTGTTTTTGCAATGACATGAGTAGCTTTGCAGGGAAATGGAAGAAGGACAGAAGTTTGGAAAAGGTGAAGTAAGAAATCTGTATCAACATTTAGTAAAACAAGTTGGGTCAGACATCCCCAAAGAACAATACTGCAAAGTAAATCTTGCTTTCCTTTGGAGGCGTAATGAATATGTAGTTTATTACAAATAGTCAGTTTGTCAGGTGATTTGTTTTTAATAGTGTGATAAGATCATAAATTACTAATTATCTTTATTTTAAACCTGTCAACACTTTGCCTTTAAAGTTGGTGTGCCAAATCCCAGCGGAACCAGTATCTGTCTGTGCTTTAGAATCCTACAACTGTAGCTACACTTTCCCAGTGACATTTTTTTTTTTCAATGTCAGAAGAGGCTCTATTGGAGAAAATGAATATTCTCTTCCTGAAGCTTTCTAAACTAAAATGTGATTGTTTTACTCTGATGACACTTTCCGGCACTGCTGCTCTATAGATTGCTAAGACACTACTTACATTTTTCAGTTAATAAACTCTTGAGGAGGCATTTTTGGAAACAGCTTAATCTAGTATTGCTCTATTATAAGACTAATATGCATTATGAACATATCCCTATGCAAAGTGGCTTTCATTTTAATGTAGCCCATTGTGGGAACAATGCGAATGATGTTGGTTAAGGCAAGTGTGTGAGGCATCTCTTATACAAACAGCCAGAACGGATGCCATGTTGCTGTATATAGGTCAATGTTGGCAATAGCAGTGTAGCTCATAGACTGGACAGACACATGGAGGCTGGAGTTAACAGTATTCACTTCTTGCAGCCTAAAGCATGGTTGTATTTCAGACATTGAAAGATGAGTACCATAGTGGAGTTTCATCTAATTAGACTATTTTAAGTAACATTGCATCCCTTAATTGAGCTGAATGCTACCAAAATAAATTGGATTAAATGAGCTTACAACTGGAGTTCTGTAGTGATATAGTCTTATTTTCTGTTCTAGTTGAAGATGTCAGATCATCAGTTTAAATACATACCTACAGAGTAATAACAGTTCTTTCCAGTTTCTTAGTGCAGCGTCATTTCCAAAGATTGTTTTCACTGGTTTTATGCTAATACAGGACAAAGAAGTGGTACTTTTTCATTTTTACAATGATGTGATGTGTTCAGTTATTGCTCAGTATCTGCTCACATAAGGAGTAGTAATACAATTATGTTATGACATGGCTAATGACAGGGATGGTGACCTCGGCCTGCAGTGGGAGGAGAAATAATGGGCTTCACTGTTCTCAGTGGTTGCCTTTATGGAATCATGTCCTGAATCTTTCTTTGGTTGATTTAGAAACAGGGAAGTCCAAAACACAAACCCATGCTTCATGCTGGCGATATACAGAGTGAAGAATAATGGACATTTGGAATATTCAGGTTTTATCATTGAAATGAGGAAGGACAGTGTAAATGCTCTTTCCATAAAAATGCACAAGAAAGGACCCATTTGTGATGAACTCTGCTTGAAAATGTCAGGACAAACATTAGACATTTGATAACTTTTAAGAATAACAAGATTCATTACATTCTCTGCAACATCTCCTTTGAGCTTATTTTCCTATTTAGAATGTATTATGTATTGTGCTTTAATGTGGCAGTACTTATCACATCATAAATACAGGATTTGTAAGCACATTAAGAAGGAGTCATTATTCCTATTTTGAATAGTAAATGTAAGAAAAAGGAAGAGGATGGGAGGGGGAGTAGATGAAGGAGGAGTATGGGGTGGAGGAGGGGGAAGAGGGAGGGTTATAAGCAATATAGAGCACCGTACTTGATTAGTTCTCTATCCACCTCTGTAACTTCTAGGACTTTGGGAAAATCATAGTTGATTCTTCATACATTATATATGTGTGTGTATATATATATATATATATATACACACA